CCCAGTTTTCCTAATTAGAAACATCTCTGGGTAGGTAGAGAACTTGTTTGCAGAGTCAAGGTAGCAGTCTTGGCTTTTAAGTGTTACTGTATTCTGACTGGCAGGCTAATTATTTTGCCACTGCTGACTTGCTTTGGGAGGCTAACAGGTGGCAGTGCTGTTTAACTGCTGTGCAGCTGCTCTCGGGGAGCGCACAGCACTGAGAGCTGGATAGTTCTCCAAATTGTTTCCCCCAAGTCCCTGCCGGGGTACAGCTTTGCAGTGCAGGACAAAACGGAATATTTTGATGCAAAACTGAATAAATACTGTCATGAGAACATAGGTATACGGTGTATGGATTGCATATATTTAGACTTTGAAGGATATAATTTAATAGATAATGAACAATTTGACAGGAAAGCCAACTACGGGGAAATTTTATGTCTTCTAACTTGTCTCTCTTTTACACAGTGAAGATAGGGAGTGTTTAGACGTCTTCCCCTGCAAGCAGTGTATTTGTGCAGGTGCAGGGTTCAAAACAATTTTTTTTAATACTTTATTTTCCTCAATCTGTTCCCAGAATCCACATTCATCACAATGGAAGGATCCTGCCTTAAGTCAACTTATTTGTTTTTGCCGGGAAAGTCGCTACATGGATCAGTGGGTTCCAGTGATTAATCTCCCTGAACGGTGATGGCAGCTGGATGAAAATAACTGAACCAGATTGCACTAACGTTTTGAAATACCTTTGTAGTTACTCAAGCAGTTACTCCCTCCACTGATGCAAGGATTACAGAAACTGATGTCAAGGGACTGAGTGAGTTCAACTACATGTTCTGGGGGAGCGGAGATAGATGACTTTGCAGATGGAAAGGTGAAAATGAAGAAGGAAGCTGTGTTGAAATCGCAATACAAGTCAAAAGGAACAAATTACAAAGAGCCACGCAGGAAGGAAAACAAACTCTGTATTCCTCTGGATGGTTTGGGTTATATTCCAATAAACCAAATATGCTTTGTTAAAGTTTAAAGAATGCAGCAGTAGTTTGGGGGGATTTCAGGTTTATATACCCCAAAGGAAAAGAAGAGCAGAAAGGGTTAATCATATTTTAAAACCATATTTTATTGTACTTTGATGTTAAAATGCTCAAAAGTTTTATTATAAATTGTGCTAAGTTATTTTATGACATGAAAGGTTATTTATGCTATACTTTTGTCCCCAAAACACAATACCTACAATAAACTGGTATGAATTAATTGCATCATTTTTCAATGTCTACTTTTTCCGTTTAAGTTAGAGTTTGAAATATATATTTGGAAAATTTCAAGCGCTCCTGCAGTTGCATTAGGTCTGTGATGTTTATGTGTGTTTCTTCCACTTTTCACCATTTGGGTTGGAGTCATGGGCATGATCTGTGCTTTAGTGAACTGACACTTGATTCCCTGCTCTACAGAGCCAAAGTCAGAAAAACAGAGGTGGCTTCCAAGGAGTTGGGGCTAGGAAAAAGGAGTGCAGTTAGAGACTGAACTAGAAAAACCTGAATAATAATTACAATTCAACGATAAAAGTACTGTCATAAATTATATGCCAAGTGTGCAGGAAGCAGAGAGGAAAGAAATGGCCAAAGCTACTTGCAAGCGCAGTAAAGTTTTTATTGGGGAGGGATCATTTTCTTTGAATCTTGGAAAATGAGTTTCATGTTCCCAGAGAAAGGAAAAGGAATATTCTGGCAAAAGCACTAGCTTGTGCAGAGGTATGGAGGCCCGAAAGACCAAAACCTGTTTAGGGAACAAAGAGAGAGAGAGAGAGTGTGTGTGTGTGTGTGTGTGGTGTAGAAGGCTAAGGAAGAGATAAGGCTGGAAAAGGTAAGTGGGGATTAGGCCCAGACTTAAAGGGCCTTCTATGTCACTCTGGCATTTGGGCTTCCTTCTATAAATTTTGGGAAATCTACAGAGGCTTTTGCCACACAGGGAGTGACGTGATAAGTGTTCCAGGAAGATAACACTGGCAGCGGCGGTGAAAGACGCGTCATTGGCCTAAGACACTGTAGGTAAGAAGGCCAACTAGGAAGTGACTAACAGTTCCAGGCTGCGTGTTTTGCAGCACTATATTTAGAGAGGAGACAGGGAGGTGGGCTGGCAAAGACCTCTAGTGCCCTTAGACTCCTCCTGGAACCCTGTGAGTGCCAGCTGAACATTCTTGTTCCGGTTCTGAGGTTCTGGCTAAGCGATGTCAGATGGGAGAGATGGCAGAGAAGAAACGAAAAGCTTCAGCGAAACAATCCCTTTAAATTGGATCCGCCACTTGATAATTAGCTGCACCAATCTCATGGCAGGCTTAGAACAAACATGCAGACATGCTTACTAATACTTTAGGCCGCAGGAGTTTTCTTTGCCTACTTCTCAAAGCATTACCTTCTTCTGCCC